CACTCCAGCACACAGCAGCTACTACTCTGACTCTACCCATGCACTATAAAGAAAGGAACAGCACTTTATTTGACAAAACAATGTGTGGAAATAGAGCAGGGTTTCCTGTCTCCCTTTACAGATGGACAATAACATACCAGATTCACACTCACCTTTTTCTATACATACATTGTCATTGATCTCTGCGGTACATTATACTGAATTAAACCTACAAGGTTCAGAAATATATATATATAAAACATTTATTGTCTTCTTATACAGCTAGACAATAACACAGCAGATTTACACTCACCTGATTTTATACTAACAGGATTAATTATAATATTAATATTAATATATTAATTATAATCCAGATTCAGAGCGAAGTTTTTTGTCTTTGCAGTGTCGAGAGATGTTGTTCTGAGAGAGAGAAACGCCATTCAACTACAGGAAACACAAAGTGAAAGAAAAATCTTCAGCAGGAGCCATGAAATTTACTGTTTGCCTGTTAGATCAATACAGTGAAAATCCAGTGAAAACAGTGATATCCTGCACTTTCAGATTCAGATTAATAATTACAGAGAAAATACAGTGAAAACTGTGATATAATACACCTTCAGATATACATTAATACCTAATCCGACTGCTACATTATAGCATACTAACATTACTGGATATCATGCTGTTTACTGGTGTGAGAATGACAGGATACTTACAGGCTGGATACTCTGATCATACCGGTCTGAGCTCCACTTTCTATTGTTCAGAAAGAAGTGATTGTCTGAGGCCTTTTTCTGATTAGATTTGAAAAGCGACCTGCTCACTTTACTTCTGACACCGTCTTTATCGCAGTAAAGGACTATTTTCACTTTCACTTACAGAGCAGCAGGAGGATTCTGGGAAACTGGGCTGTGGCTTCAGGCTGTGTTGTTGTGATCATGCAGCTCGAGCACAGATCAGTGTTCAAAAGTGCAGGAGCTCTGGGACTTTTCTGTGAAACAAGTACAGTATATCAAGCTGAAGCCCAGCTCCTCTTGTCCACAGGCTGCAGGATGTGGCTCTTCTCTCTCTTAAAGGAGAAGTTCAGCTCCTGATTACCTGCCTGTGAGGGAGGGAGATCCTGAGTGAGGGAAAGGAGCTGTCAGGATAAGATGTGTGTAGGATTAGCCTCCTCCTGACTCCACCTGGGAGAAAAGGGATTTGTCCAGAGTCCAGTCTGGAAGGAGAGCGTGTGAGAGCTCCAGTAGAGAGATCTTGTCTCTAGTGATGATGAGGCAGGTTTACAGGCCTGTGGGCTCTGCAAGTGAGGGGTGCTTGAGAACAGAAGGGGCTCA